GACGAAGATGGGTCACCTTCTGCTCCTCAGAGTGGCCGGCTTTCAACGTCGGGTGGCCCAGGAACGGAACTTTTAATATTGATATTATCTTGTAGGTGAAGGCCCTGGTCTTCCAGCCAGGACCCAATGGGCACCTCGATCAGGTGCCGTACATCATAGTATGGGAGGATCTCGCTAAGAATCCACCCCCCTGGATAAAATGCTTTATCCCTTCTCAAGGGGGACCGGGCCCGAGACCCTCACTCCCTCCCTGCCCCACTCCCCCAATTCCCCATCCCTCCTCTCCCTCCACCCTTTGCCCCCTAAAATTTCCTGAATCAAAACCTAAGGAGCCGCCTGTGCTCCCAGGGGACCAGGACAGTCTCCTTCTCTTGGACTCCTCCCCTCCCCCTTATGCCCAACCCCCAACGCCCCGCTCGGAGGCCCCTACCTCTCCCTCCGCTCCCTCAGCTCCGTCCCCCGACTCTACGGGGGCAGAGGGGCAACCCCTCGCTTCACCCCCGCTCGCCAGTCGCCTCCGCTTTCGGCGAGAGCGCGGGGGAGAGTCGGAAGACGTCTGGACCTCCCAGGCATTTCCCCTCCGGTCAGTAGGCGGCCAGATGCAATATTGGCCGTTCTCTGCCTCTGACCTTTACAACTGGAAAACTCATAACCCCTCCTTCTCCCAAGACCCCCAGGCGCTAACCGGATTAATTGAGTCAATTCTGTTGACCCACCAGCCGACCTGGGATGACCGCCAGCAGCTCCTGCAGACTCTCCTCACCACGGAGGAGAGACAGCGCGTGTACCTCGAAGCTCGGAAAAACGTCCCGGGGGCGGACGGGAGGCCGACCCAGCTGCCTAATGAAATTGAGGATGTTTTCCCCTTGGTTCGCCCGACCTGGGACTACGACACTGTTGCTGGTAGGGAGCGGCTCCGTCTCTATCGCCAGGTACTCCTAGCGGGTCTCAAAGGGGCAGGGCGTCGCCCCACCAATTTGGCAAAGGTACGTGCTATAGTGCAGGGAAAAGAGGAGACGCCGGCAGGTTTTCTGGAGAGGTTAATAGAAGACTACCGCATGTATACTCCCTTTGACCCCTTGGCTGAAGACCGCCAACCAGATGTAATTATGTCCTTCATTGGACAGTCGGCCTCGGATATTGGTAAGAAGTTACAACGGTTGGAGGGACTTCAGGGGTACACCTTACAGGACTTAGTGAAAGAGGCAGAGAAGGTTTTTAACAAGCGAGAAACCCTAGAGGAAAGGGAGGAAAGGATCCGTAAAGAGCAAGAGGAACGGGAGGATAAGAGAGATAAAAGATGTAATAAAGAGCTGACTAGGATACTGGCCACCGTAGTACAGGGCTCAGGGCAGAGTAAGTCAGGACAGAGTAGGGACCTGGGAGACAAAAGAGGACCACGGGTTGAACGAGACCAGTGTGCCTACTGCAAGGAAAAAGGACATTGGGTTAAAGATTGCCCAAGGAAGGGCCAAACGCAGGGACCTAAAAAGAAGCCAATTCCTGTTTTGTCCCTAGAAGATGAAGATTAGGGGTGTCAGGGCCAGGAACCCCCCCCGAGCCTCGGATAACCCTTAAAGTGGGGGGACAGCCGGTGACCTTCCTGGTCGATACGGGAGCTCAACATTCAGTTTTAACTGAGGCAAAAGGACCCTTGAGCTCTAAAACATCTTGGGTTCAGGGGGCAACTGGAGGCAAGTTATATCGATGGACAACCGAACGGAAGGTCCACCTGAGCACTGGGCAAGTAACGCATTCCTTCTTACTGGTCCCAGACTGCCCTTACCCTCTCCTAGGCAGAGACCTTCTTTCAAAAGTAGGGGCCCAGATACATTTTCAGCAAAAAGGGGCCACTATTACTGGCGCAGAAGGGCAGCCCCTCCAGGTACTGACCTTGCGCCTAGAGGATGAACACCGGCTGCACGAGGACTCTCCACCGTCCGTGCAGCCCCTAGATTCTGAATGGCTCACTAACTACCCTCAGGCCTGGGTGGAAACGGCCAGAATGGGACTAGCTGTAAACCAGCCGCCCATAATTATAAACTTAAAACCCTCGGCCACCCCCATATCGATCCGGCAATATTCAATGAGCAAAGAGGCCAAAGAAGGCATTCGGCCACATATACAGAGACTATTACAATTGGGCATTTTAATACCTTGCCAGTCGCCCTGGAATACTCCTCTATTACCCGTAAAAAAACCCGGCACAGGAGATTACCGGCTGGTACAAGATTTACGAGAGGTTAACTGGAGGACAGAGGACATACATCCCATGGTGCCAAATCCTTACAACTTGCTCAGCACCTTACCCCCAAGCCATGTCTGGTATATGGTGTTAGATCTAAAAGATGCATTCTTTTGCCTAAGGTTAAGCTCTCAAAACCAGCCTATTTTTGCTTTTGAATGGAAAGATCCTGAGACGGGATTCTCAGGACAACTCACTTGGACAAGGCTGCCGCAGGGATTCAAAAACTCCCCCACTTTGTTCGATGAGGCCTTGAATCGGGATTTGGCAGATTTCCGAGTTGGCCATCTGGACCTCGTCCTTCTGCAGTACGTGGGTGATTTGCTCCTGGCGGCTAGGACAGAACAGGATTGTGTAAAAGGTACGGGGGCCCTGCTTGAGAGACTGGGAGAACTGGGGTATAGGGCCTCCGCCAAAAAGGCCCAAATAGGCCAGAGACAAGTGACCTATCTGGGATATCTCCTGGAAGGAGGCCAGAGGTGGCTGATGGAGAGCCGCAAAAAGGCTGTAGCCCTGATCCCAGCACCCACTAATGCCAAAGGACTACGAGAGTTCCTCGGCAGTGCTGGGTTCTGCCGCCTCTGGATACCCGGGTTTGCGGAGATGGCGGCTCCCCTATATCCTCTCACGAAATCCAACACCCCCTACCACTGGGGAAAGGAGCACCAACTGGCTTTTGACAAAATAAAAAGGGCCTTATTGACCGCCCCTGCCCTGAGCCTCCCAGATGTAACCAAGCCTTTTACGCTATATGTTGATGAACATAATGGAATAGCCAAAGGGGTCCTAACTCAAAAACTGGGACCCTGGAAAAGGCTCGTGGCATACTTTTCAAAAAAATTAGACAGTGTGGCTGCAGGATGGCCCCCATGTCTCCGAATAATAGCGGCTGTGGCAGTCCTGGTAAAAGACTCAGACAAGTTGACTTTTGGCCAGCCCCTCACTGTGGTGGTCCCCCATGCCGTAGAGACCGTCATCCGCCAGCCCCCTGATCGATGGCTCTCAAACGCCCGGGTCACCCATTATCAGGCCATGTTACTGAATTCTGAGCGGATACCGTTTGGAACGGCTACATCTCTAAACCCGGCCACCTTGCTTCCAGAAACCGAGTCCCCCTCCCTAGTAATGCATGATTGCCACCAGATCCTAGCTGAAGTCCATGGCACCAGAGGGGACTTGACGGACCAGCCTTTGCCAGATGCTGAAGCAACCTGGTACACCGATGGGAGTAGCTTTCTACGAAATGGTGAGCGTAAAGCCGGGGCAGCCGTGGTAGATGGGAAAGCTGTCATTTGGGCCAGTGCCTTAGAGCCTGGGACTTCAGCTCAAAGGGCAGAGCTTATAGCCCTAACTCAGGCCCTAAGAAAGGCTAAGGACAAAAAGGTCAACATTTATACTGACAGCAGATATGCTTTTGCAACTGCCCATGTTCATGGAGAAATATACCGTAGAAGGGGTCTCCTAACCTCAGCAGGTAAAAACATCAAAAACAGAGAAGAAATACAAGATCTTCTCCATTCCCTCTTTCTGCCGAGAAAACTGAGTATAATTCACTGTCCTGGGCATCAGCGAGGCAATGACCCAGTAGCAGAGGGGAACAGGATGGCCGATGAAACAGCACGGGCCGCTGCACTAGGCCCACAGGCCCTCTCCCTACAAGTACCAGAGGCTGTCCGGACACCGGGGCAACTCTCTCTCAAGTACTCAGACAGCGACCTAGATATCGTCCAGCAAATAGGGGCAAAATATGACGAGCAAATGAAGGTCTGGAAACACCAAGGGAAGTCGGTCCTGCCCCAGAAAAGGGCCAAAGAACTGGTGACTCACCTCCACCGATGGACTCACCTCGGACACAAAAAAAATTAAAAGCACTCCTGGAGAGAAGGTCAGACCTATTACATTCCCAAACTCCCCTCCCTGATCCAACAGTTAACCGAAGCTTGTGTACCTTGTGCTAAGGTAAATACCAAACACCTCAAGATGCCTGAGGGAACCAGGATGAGGGGAGAAAGACCCGGAACTAATTGGGAAGTAGAATTCACCGAAATCAAGCCAGGTAAATATGGTAACAAGTACCTCCTAGTGTTTATAGATACCTTTTCAGGCTGGACAGAAGCATTCCCCACCAAGCGAGAAACCGCCCAGTTGGTTGTCAAGAAAATCCTGGAAGAAATTTTCCCCCGGTTTGGACTGCCCAAGGTAATAGGGTCGGACAACGGCCCGCCTTCGTCTCCCAGGTAAGTCAGTTGGTGGCCAGATTACTGGGGATAAATTGGAAATTACATTGTGCATACAGACCCCAGAGCTCAGGTCAGGTAGAAAGAATGAATAGAACAATTAAAGAGACCCTAACTAAATTGACATTGGAGACTGGCACTAGAGACTGGGTCCAACTCCTCCCTATGGTTCTGTTCCGAGTCCGGAACACTCCCGTGCACCATGGGCTAACTCCTTACGAGATTCTCTATGGAGGTCCCCCACCAGTAACGGACTTACTAGATTCTGCTATTGACCCTCTTGCTAACACTCCCGGTTTACAGGACAGGCTAAAGGCGCTCCAGATTATCCAGCACCAGATCTGGAAACCCCTTGCGGCTGTCTACCGCCCCGGAGACACAACCGGCCCACACCCATTCCAGATCGGTGACTCCGTCTACGTCAGGAGACATGAGTCCAGGACGCTTGAGCCCCGCTGGAAGGGCCCATATACTGTACTATTGACCTAAAGGTAGACAGCATTGCTGCTTGGGTCCACGCCTCACACGTCCAGCGCGCCCCATCAACGAGCACCGCTGACGCCAGCCAGGACGGACCGGACGAGCCACTCCAATGGAAGCTCCACCGCACCCAAAACCCGCTCAAGATAAGACTTTCAAAAATTGTTCAATGACAGTTGTTATATTCCTACCTCTCCTAGCGCTCTTCACCTCCACCAAAGGTGACCCTCATGCCCTCAAAAGGTTAACCTGGCAGGTACTAACGTCTGGGGGTGACGAGGTCTGGTCTATAACTAAGACCGCCCCGGTGGGAACCTGGTGGCCTAACCTATATCCTGACCTATGCAAGCTAACCATAGGGGCCCCTAGCCCATGGGACCTAGAGGGATACTTCGACATCTCTAGAGCCCCTAACCAAGAAAGCCCTCCAGGGCGACTGGGATTAGACCCATGGGGAGGATGTGGCACGCCTGATAGAAGGGTCATGCCAAGCACTCTTCCCTTTTATGTCTGCCCCGGGCACCACAGAGATCGCAGGCTAAATCCTACCTGTGGAGGAGGGGAATACTTCTATTGTAAAAATTGGGGGTGCGGGGATCCCTGGGTGGCGCAGCGGTTTGGCGCTTGCCTTTGGCCCAGGGCGCGATCCTGGCGACCCGGGATCGAATCCCACATCGGGCTCCCGGTGCATGGAGCCTGCTTCTCCCTCTGCCTGTGTCTCTGCCTCTCTCTCTCTGTGTGTGTAACTATCATAAATAAATAAAAATTAAAAAAAAATAAAATAAAAGTTTAAAAAAAAAATTGGGGGTGCGAAACTACGGGGGATACAGAATGGAGGCCCTCCTCCTCCTGGGATTATATCACTGTCAAGGCTAACTATACTCACCCGACATTTAGCAAATGGAAAACCCTTAATTATGGGCCCTGCCAAGGGTGGTGTCCTCCCTACGGATATCCTTCACGGAGCCCGGAAAAAGGGCTACTTACTGGGCCAATGGATATACGTGGGGACTCAGGTTATACAAAGAAAGAACAGATGATGGTTTTATATTCAGAATTAAACTAAAAATAAAATCCCCAGACCCCGTGGCGATCGGGCCTAACGCGGTCCTCGGGGAACAAAGAGCTGCCCCGGCCCTAGCCGCAGGGAGTGCCGCACCCACTAACTTCGCGGTCATCCAACCCCTCGGTCGTCACCCGAGCCGTCGTCACCCGAGCCGGGACAACGACTGTTTAATCTTATCATAGGGGCATTCCTGGCCCTTAATCGAACCAGCCCCGATGTAACTAAATCTTGCTGGCTCTGCCTTGCATCCCCCCCCCTTATTATGAGGGAATTGCTACTTCAGGGACCTATAATAATATCACTAGCACTCAGGGATGCACACCCGACTCCCAACCACAACTCAGCCTTACAGAAGTTTCAGGACAGGGAACCTGCATAGGAACACCCCCCCGGGGCTACCAGAGACTCTGCAACACTACCACCCCGATTTTGGGGACTGATTCTTACCTGGAGCCCCAGCCGGGAACTTGGTGGGCATGCAACAAAGGCCTCACCCCCTGTGTGTCGGCTAAGGTTCTAAATAGCTCAAACGACTTCTGTGTCATGGTGCAGATCATACCCAGGGTGTTCTATCACCCTGCTGAAACTCTAGAAAATCAGTATGATAAACATCCCACCCGTTTTCGGCGCGAACTTGTTTCCCTAACCTTAGCCGTTATGTTGGGACTAGGGGTCACTGCTGGGGTGGGTACTGGCGCAGCTGCTCTGATCCAGGGCTCACGACGTTATATAGAACTCCAAACAGCTGTAGATGATGATCTACGGACACTAGAGCAGTCCGTTTCTAAGCTAGAACAGTCCCTCACCTCACTTTCAGAAGTAGTACTTCAAAACTGGAGAGGCTTGGATTGACTATTCCTGAAAGAGGGAGGACTGTGCGGCCCTGGGAGGGGAATGCTGTTTCTATGCAGACCATTCTGGAGTCATCAGAGACTCCATGGCCAAACTCAGGGAAAGGTTAAATAAAAGACAAAGGGACCGGGAGGCCCAGCAGGGCTGGTTTGAAAGCTGGTTTAATCAGTCTCCCTGGTTGACCACCCTAATCTCTACCATTATGGGCCCTCTAGTTATCCTGCTCCTGCTGCTAACTTTCGGCCCCTGCGTCCTCTACCGGCTGCTCCAGTTCATCCGAGAAAGATTGTCTATTACCCAAGCTCTGGTATTAACTCAGCAATGTCGGGCCCTCCAAACTGAAGAAATAAATGTTCCCTAAGATTTTAAGGTTAAAATCAGCCCAAACAAGAGGAGGGAATGAAGAAACCTCCCCCCTTTTAAGTAGGGCCAGCCCTAATCCAGAGGCAGCCCATCCAGGCGCCTTCCTGAAATTTTAGCAACTAAAAGCATTCTGTTCACAATAAGAAAACCATTTCCCCCCACACCCTGATTGGAATGTCCCTGAATAGGTTCATGTTGACCCTCTGTGAAATCAACCTGGATGCTATGCGACTCCCGGTTCTTTTGCCTTTAGGCGGTTTCTTTCCTTTTGCCTTTAAAAGATCCCTGTGATTGCTAATCGGGGCTCTTTTCCTCCTCGGAGGCGGAGAGCCCGTTTGCGCAAACGTTCAATAAACCCTCTTGCTAATTGCATCTGCCTGTCTGGGGTCTGAGTCTCTGGGGCGTCCACCGGGACACGTTGGCACCCGTGAGCCAGGGTCCAACAGATTCAGGGGGAAAAAATGTTGAGTTTTATTTTGGTAGGTTGTTAAGTCTGAATTAGAGTGGTCCTTTTCAGGCTCGTTAAGTTTTGTGATGATGGCCCTAGAGTACACTTTTTTTTTTCCTAGAGTACACTTTACAGCAGATCTAACTTAGTCTTACTGAATGAATCAGGTCAACAAAGTCTCTCAACATGTTTCCCCACAAGAACTCTTAACACCAAGGTTTCTCTGATGGTTATTCAGCTTACAGTTTTCCAGATTTTCTTTGCTTAGCCTCAGGGGTCTCATCCTGCATTCCCTGCTTTGTATTTGGCCAAAGACACAAGGAAATCCTATGCAGATTTCTGGATCCCATTCTCTGCATAGTTCCCATCTCTCTGGTGTTCTGCTCTATAACTTTTAGCTGCTTCAGTTTCTACAGGCTCTGACTTTTCTTTTTCCTCAGCTCTAGTCTGCTATGCCTTACTTGGGATCCTCTTTTTTTTTTTTTTTTTTTAAGATTTATCTATTGATTTGAGGGGGGAGTGCACACAAGCAAGGAAAGGGAGAGGCAGAGGGAAAGGGAGAGAATCTCAAGCAGCCTCCATGCTGAGTGTGGCATCAACCCTGATGCGAGGCTTCAGTCCAGTACCCTGAGATCAGGACTTGAGTGGAAACCAAGAGCCCAACACTTGACTGACTGAGCCACACAGATATCCTGGGATCCTCCTTCTTATGCTGATACTTGGTAAATGTTACCAGGAAGAACACTAGAGAAATTGTAGAGCTCACTATATTTTTCTTCCTTCTCTCATAATTACTGTCCTGTGCTGCCTGTGGTCCAACGACTGATTAACTATTCACATTTGTTGTACAGTTATCTAGTTGTGTATGACAGGAGGTTTAGTCTGATACCAGTTACTCTGTCATGGCTGGATGTATGTATGTATGTATTATTATTATTATTTTGGATGTATGTATTATTTTTTGACTGGTTCCTTTTTATCCCATATTATGTTTGTGAGATGCATGTTTTTTTATTTAAAAACATATTTTTAAAATTAATTTATTTTTAAGAATTCTCTACCCCCAACATGGTCTTGAACTCACAACCCCAAGACTAAGAATCACATGCTTTACTAAGCCAGCCAGGTACCCCTCATGCTTATTGAATGAAATATTTAGCTCACTTTTAATTTTTTTAAGTTTTTTATTTTTTTAAATTTTATTTATTAATGAGAGACACACACACACACAGAGGCAGAGACACAGGCAGAGGGAGAAGCAGACTCTATGCAGGGAGCCCGACCTGGGACTCGATCCCAGGTCTCCAGGATCACACCCTGGGTTGAAGGCAGGTGCTAAACTGCTGAGCCACCAGGGCTGCCCTCACTTTTTATTTCTGTATTGTATTCTATAACTGAATATATCACAATTTATTTATACAATCAATCTATTGTTGACATTTGAGTAGTTTCCATTTTAGAGGTATTATAAATAATACTGCTATAAACATTCTTGTACATGTCTTTTGGTATATGAATTCCTGTTGGGTATCTATCTAGAAATGGAACTGCTGGATAGGTTATGCAGATAGTCAGGTTTACACATACTGCCAATTAGTTTAGCAAAATAGTTATAGCAGTTTTCATGCAGTATGTGAGTCCCAGTGACTCCATGCTTCCTCAACAGTTGGTATTGCCAACTTTTATATGTTAGCCATTCTGGGGAGTGTGTTTTAGCTTGTACTTTCTGGTTTCTAATGAAGTTGACCACTTTTTCATATGCTTATTGCCCTTTTGTATGTCTATTGGCCTATTCATATTTTTGTCCATTTTTCTATTGCATTGTCTGACTTTTCCTTTTATTAATTGATCAGTTAATCAATTAAGTTATTTTTTCATTCTGGATTTCAGTCCTTTGTCAGTTATACATACTGCACCTATCTTATTCCACTCTGTGGCTTGCCTTTTTACCTTAACAGTGTGTTTTGATGAACAGAGGTTCTTAATTTTAATGTAGTCCAATTTATCAGTTTCATTTACATAGTTTCATTTCATTCATATAGTTTTTTTTTTTTAGTTTCATTTTTTTTAAGATTTTATTTATTCATGACAGACACAGAAAGAGAGAGGCAGAGACACAGGCAGAGGGAGAAACAGGCTCCATGCAGGGAGCCCGATGTGGGACTTGATCCAGGGTCTCCAGGATCACGCCCTGGGCTGAAGGTGGCGCTAAACCGCTGAGCCACCGGGGCTGCCCTATAATTTCATTTTGATGTCTATTTGAAATCTTTCCTACCTCAAGGTTATGAAATATTCTTTTTAAAAACTTATTTAGAAGGTTTATTACTTTATACATCACATATAGATCCAAAGCACACCTAGAAATAATTTTTGGATTAGTGTAAAGAATCAATACTCATTTCTTTTCCATATGGATATATAACTGACCAAATCCCATTTATTGCAAAGACAGTCCTTTTCTTTTTCTTTTTTTTTTTTTAAAGACTTTATTTATTCATGAGAGACACAGAGAGAGAGGCAGAAACATAGGCAGAGGGAGAAGCAGGCTCCATGCATGGGGCCCCATGCGGGACTTGATCCCGGGACTCCAGGATCACGTCCTGGGCCAAAGGCAGATGCTCAACCGCTCAGCCACCCAGGTGTCCCAGTTATTGTAGCTTTATAATAACTCTATTATACAGTATGAGTCCTCCACTTCTGCTCTTCAAGTTTATCTGAGATATTATAGACCATTTACATTTCCTTTTTTGTTTTAATATCCATTTATTTATTTGAGAGAGAGAGAGCAGTAGGAGGGGCAGAGAGAGGGAGAGAGAGAACCCTCAAGCAGGCTTCCTTGGGAGATGTCAGCAGGGAGCTTGTTAGAGGACTTGATCCCAGGACCTTGAGATCATGACCTGAATAAAGAGCTGGCCGCTAGACCTGAACCACCAAGGCATCCCTAGACCATTTGTATTTTCTTATAAAATTTATAATAAGCTGCCTTATTTTTTTACTTAAAAAAAAAAAGCCAAAAAACCCCTCCTGACAAGACTAAAGTTCTTTTTTTTTAAATTTTTATTTATTTATGATAGTCACAGAGAGAGAGAGAGAGAGGCAGAGACATAGGCAGAGGGAGAAGCAGGCTCCATGCACTGGGAGCCTGATGTGGGATTTGATCCCAGGTCTCCAGGATCGCGCCCTGGGCCAAAGGCAGGCGCCAAACCACTGAGCCACCCAGGGATCCCTCCTGACAAGACTAATAAAAGAGAGTATTATAAAAAAACTCGGGCAGCCCCAGTGGCTCAGCAGTTTAGCGCTGCCTTCAGCCCAGGGCCTGATCCTGAAGACTAGGGCTCAAGTCCCACGTTCGGGTCCCTGCATGGAGCCTGCTTCTCTCTCTGCCTCTCTCTCTCTCTCTCTGTGTGTGTGTGTCTCTCTCATGCATAAATAAATAAAATTAAAAAAAAAAAACTCATGACAATAATTTGAAGATGTAGTTTGCTGTCTGTGTATCAATAGCTTGTTCCTTTTTATTCTGAGTGGTATTCCACAGTATGGATATGTCACAGATTGTTTAGCCATTCACCTCTTTAAGGAAACTGAGCTAGTTCCAGTTTGGGGCCATCCATGAATAAAGTTGCTATAAACATTCATGTGCAAGTTTTTATGTGAACATATGTTTATTTTTTTAAATAAGTTCCTTTTTTAAAAAAGATTTTATTTATTCATTCATGAGAGACACAGAGAGAGAGGCAGAGACACAAAGAGAGGGAGAAGGAGGCTCCACACAGGGAGTCCAATGTGGGACTCGATCCTGGGTCTCCAGGATCACATCCTGGGCTAAAGGCAGCGCTAAACCACTGAGCCACCCGGGCAGCCCACGAACATGTTTAAATGCCCAGGAGAGCAATTGCTAGGTCATATTGTTCTGGCATATTTTTTGGTAGGAAAATGCCAAACCGTTTTCTACAAAAGCTATACCATTTTACATTCCCACCAGTAACAGATGAGAGATGTAGTTTCTTCCACATTCTTTACCAGCATTTGTTGTCACTATTTTTTATTTTCGCTATTGTGATAGGTGTGCAAATCAATTTAAAAATATTTCATATTATTTAGTATTTAAATTTTTTTAAGATTTTATTTATTTATTCATAGAGACACAGAGAGAGAGGGGCAGAGGCACAGGCAGAGGGAGAAGCAGGCTCCCTGCAGGGAGCCCGACGTGGGACTTGATCCAGGGTCCCCAGGATCAAACCCGGGGCTGCAGGCGGCGCTAAACCACTACGCCACCAGGGCTGCGCTAAAATTTTTTTTTTTAAGATTTTTATTTATTTGAGAGAGAAAAACTTGAGCAGGGGTGAGGGGATGGGAGAGAAGGAGGTTTCCTGCTGAGCAGAGGCTCCATCCCAGGACCCCGGGATCAGAACCTGAGCTAAAGGCAAATACTTAACTGAGCTACTCAGGCGCCCTGATTTAGTATTTTTAAATGATTTTAAGTAATCTCTACACCTGATGTGGGGCTTGAATTCACAACCCTGAGATCAAGAGTCACATGTTCCACTGACTGAAGGAGCCAACCAGGCAACCCTACATTATTTAGTATTTTTGAAGGGTTAAGTTGATCTGCAACATATTGAACTTCTAATCGGTACTGAGTTAGGTTTTTGAGGGATAGGACTCAGGCATCTAGATATTTTTAAAATCTTCATTGGTGAATCTGATTTGGAGCTATGATTATGGAGACATCTTGGTCTCATAGAAAACAACTTTGAAGGAAAAGTCATCCTTTGAAGAAACAGCCATGTGAAATAATGGGAATGTCACAGACAGTGAAAATATGTGATAGGATAGTAGAGCTGAATGACATTTCAGAAATACAAAGATTCTGTAACCCTGGAAAATAATATTTTGTGCGAATAATTTTTTAAACTTTTGGGAT